ACTCACGTTATCGCGGTTGCTCGCGCCTTGCGGCAAGCGTGATGCTTAGAGTCGCCGAAATTCGGTTATCGTCCTCGACGTATCCCAGGGAACATCGAGCATTCTGTTGTGAGCGTCGCATTAGCCTTGCTTACGGGTTCGCAAGCAGGCAAGGAGAAACACGAAATGAATATTCAGAAGTTATTAGTCTGTAGTGAAATGTGACGGGGCTCACCCTTCTCGAAAACCACCCTGGCCTCCGCTACCGTCGCCCACTCCTCCCAACCCCCCGTACCTCCCTCTTCTTCCAGGCCGGTATAGATTTTGCGATACATCCTGGCGGAAATACTCGCGAGTGAGCGAGCGAGACACCCCGATCCGCTAGTACCGGTCGAAGAAGGGGTTGAAGCCTCGATGAAACGGCGGGGATGAAATCGTGAAAGATGAGGAGGTTGCGGGAGGTGGATGCGGACAGACGGGACTGGCGGGGCGTGAGGGTAGTGAGCGAAAGGGGCTTTATGCACGAGCTAAGAAGCGCCATTGACGGGCAGCAAGGAGGTTGTGTATGTATACTTGGACTTTGTCAGCGCATTTGATATGCAAGACTTTGGTAACACTGACGTGACGTAACCCCGTCACGTATCTCGGAGTCACCAAGTATAATCTCACATATGAGAATAAAGATGCGTCTCGATTAAAGTCGTTTGGAAATACGAGCAATATGACGAATAATTTTGGAGTAATTTTGTTGCTCGTTGCATATATAGAGAATGTGGCGAGATATCTAAGAGTGTTTGTTGTTAAGACTCCTAGCATTGTTTATCTCTTTTTAATGACGTCAGAAGCGAGAAAATGTATACTAAAAATTCTTGCGAAATACATTGAAATAAAAATATATATCCATAAAGTAACACTTGCAATCGATTAAACAAATTTGTAAGATATTCCGTGCACTCCCCTTTTGCTCTAACAATCAATAATTTATGGTAAATTAATTTGAATAGAAATAGGCGAAGAAATAGGTTAAGAAGATGAATTGTATATCACGTTAATTTACGATTACAAATTATTGTTAGAACAAAAGGAGAGTGTACGGAATATCTTACAAATTTGTTTAATCGATTGCAAGTATTATTTTATAGATATATATATTTTTATTTTAACGTATTTCGCAAGAATTTTTAGCACGCATTTTCTTGCTTCTGATGTCATTAAAAAGAGATAGATAATACAAGGAGCTAGGAGCCTTAAAGATACTCGTGTTTTGGCGTTCGGTGAATCAGTTTATGAAATTGTCGGCAAAAATTCAATTGTGAGATTATATCATTATCATATCACGTGTAATTTCAAATGTGTGTAAAATCCTCAGCGAACGCGAGGTAAATTTAGATCGCAACTTGCAAGCTCGGATAATTTAGAAAATCGATACAAACGACGACGTAATGTCGATCGCGGAAGAGTCCTCGCTATCTCCCGGCTCTAATCTCGAGTTGACTTGCAATCGACGGGGAAACAAATGTCGAGAAACAGACGCCGGTTTACGTTAGTCGCTCCATCTCCTCGCGAAGTGCCGCGCGCAGCCCACAATGGAAATACGATCCACGAAACATATAATACCAATGTGTCTCGGCAGTATTTGTCGAGGAAGCGCGCGCGCGTGGACGGATAGAGATCTCCGACAATCGTGTAAACGCCTATACGAACGGTGCCATCTTGAAAGCGCGCGCGCGTCGTGGCGCAGGCGATATTCAAATGGCATCAATTTCTGCGAAATTGCTCCCTATATCTACCCGCAACCTGGATGCAGAGCTACCCTCTCGCGAGAAGGGTGAGCAGACCGTATTGGCAGATAGCTACAGCATCGTTTTACAACCCCTTATCTGGATAAGTTACGGGCATTCTATTCGGCGATTCTCTGTCGTCCGAAGTTACGTCGTCGAGGGTGTCATCGATTTCCATGGAAATCCCCGGTGCGTGTAACTCTTGTGCTATGCCAGATTGCCGCGCTGCTTTATTGCGTGAGACCGTCTATCTCGAGCAGAAAAAGAAACCAACCAGCAGACTTGTTTATATCAGATGCAGCATCTACAACTGGTTGGAAGCATCACCACGTCGAAGATGTTCACAGAATACAAGTTTTTGTTTCTATTTCAGATTGTCTTTCTCGACGTCAAGCGAGACCGTCGAATTCTCGGAGCTGGAATTGTTACACGCCAGCCTCAAATCCTTCGATGACTGTACCTGTCATTACACATTTGTTTCCATACACTTGTATATCGTGGACGACTCTTTCGACGAAAGTCTCGAGCGCGAAATTTCACGCGACTTAGTGTCTAACGAGTCGAAGAGTCACCCAGTCAAGCCGCGGCAGCAATCTCGGAGGAGATTCCCGTTCCTTCTTTTCGCCTCGCCGCAGAAGAAACACCCGCGGGGCTCGGCAACTTTTTTTCATCAGCATTTTACGGTTATACCGGCGCATTAATAATGCACATGCTTAATATAAAGAGAGGCCCGCGAGTCTCCGCCTAATAAACTGGAAGAATGCTTTATAACCGTCCGCGGTTTTGGGTCGTGAGGGGCCGACCGACGGGGCGGCCAAGGGTGCGCTGGAAGGCAAACTGAAGGGGGTGGCTTTTCTTCTTTATGCTCGCCAAACGGCCAATCTCTCCTGCGCGCGTCGAAGGAAAGTGGTCTAACTTTCCGGCGCTACGGAGAGACAACGAACTCGTCGCGCGATATAGCCCTCGGAAGCGCGACTCGTTAAAGGACCCGGCGTCATCCTACGTCTCGTCTCTATCCTCTTCCCTCTTGTATTTCTCTCATCACGGTCGACGCGTGGAAAATTTATTTCGGTGCAAAAATTTGTCAGCGCCAGTCGATGTCAGGAAGAGAGAGAGAGAGAGAAAGAGATAAGAGAGAGAGAGAGAGAGAGAGAGAGAGAGAGAGAGAGAGGGAGAGGGAGAGACTAACCGCCGAATATCCGAACTTTGCGCGACAAGTTTCGCAATTCGGACTTTGTATTCTGTCGCACAGCTCTGCAATTTACATCGAGCGCTCGCGTACGTTTATCCGACGCGTTTCTCCGCGGAAAGTTACATGGAATAAAGACGCTGGAATATTTACCTATTATCTACGGGGGATACATCATTTATGATAAAATTCTAGTCGAGTCATATCGGTGGCGCGACGCGCGGGCGTAAATCACCTTTAGCATAAAAATTTTCATATCCATCTTATCCTCGAGAGCCAAATGAATTTTTCGTTCTCCCCGGGCTGATTTCCGAGTTGCGAGCGAGAGGAGGCGCTCCAGATAGCGAAGGTGAGACTTTTTGAAAAATATGAGTTTAATAAAGAAGGTGGTATGATGTATGGCCTCGTGCCGAGGGAGGGAACCTACCAGGATCAACCGGCTTCGATACACAGATATTGTATACGTAATATGAGTAGATGAAGGGAATGGGCGTGATGTACTGGGTGTCAAAATGTCTCGTGAGACGTTCGACGCAGCCACCGTGCTGCTAACAAAATTGCGGAAAACAAACCGGAGGAGGGTGGAGGATGCGCGCGCTGACGGATTTCGCCGGCACATCGTCCTTGCCTCATCTCGTCAAAAGTTAGGACAAAAAATGAAAGATTCCACAAAAAGTCGTTTCGAGTATCTTGCAAAAAATCAACTGAAACATCATAACTATTTCAAGGTTGTTAATTAAAGTACATCATACTGCGCACCGCTCGAACGAAATATCGATCTGCCAAAGTTTAAGTGCTCAACTCGTTATTGTCGCTACCCGTGGTATTGGGAGCCTTTTTTTCACCCCGCGTTCCCCCCGACGCATAATACCGCGCGAGACATTGAATATTTTATCCGAGAGATTCGTATTTTTCTCCGGGTGATTGTCATTCGAAGAGGTCCAAGAGCGACAGTCGCCGTCCGTGCGGCGGCGTAGGGAGCAGCAAAATCAATTATTCATCCCAATTGCCCGGGAAAAAGTCCTAATTATCCGAAGTAAATACAACCTTAATACGCAGAAGTGTACCATCACCTCTCCTTTTGCCCCGACCGTTCTCTCTCTCTTTTTCTTGCTTTCTCTCTCTCCCCCACCCACCTCTCTTTCTCTTCCTCTCTCTATCTATCTACGAGTTTCCTCCGCTATCCCGCAGTCACTCTTCGGCCTTCTCCTTCTTACCGTGAATAACCATTTGTATTTCCAATTAGCTTTGCTAATAAGAAGGCGGAGGCATTGCCGTAGTTTAAAAAAAAATGTATAACCTCATCCAGCCACTGGGGAAATAAAGAAAAGCGCCGCCCCGGTATGACAATACCGACGGGTCGAGCGGGGTTATATCGAGCGAACTACAATTAAAAATCCTCGCTTCACCCTCGCTTAACCCTGGCTCCTCCTTATGCTGTATTAACGACCGGGGGCTGTGCAAGGATGGCTACGGGGACATCGTACCAAACAGTGAGAATTTTTTTTCGCCAATTTTATGCTTGACCCCATCGTTTCTTTTTTTTTTACCTTCGCTCGTTTTTATCTCGACGCGCTCCGTCTTTCTGTTTTTAGCATCGTGTCGATTTACTCCGTTCGACGCGACGGCGCTATTCTTTCTCCGCCGAGAGAACGAGAATATGAGAATGGGTTATAAAAATATATCCAAAGGGGAATTAAATGCTCCGTCTCTCTCTCTTCCGCCGTGCATATGCATGCATGTGGTCGAGATAAATAGGCTGTAAATGAGAAATTGATGCTTGAGCTTCAGTAATCGTTATATTTTTACCTCAATTGTAACAAACAATTAATATTACACATATTCTAATATTGAAACTAATGTATGCGCGTATATATATATAGCGCGCCGTTATTAACAAAATCATGCTGAGGGGATCTTTACGTGGCTCGAAATCTCGCAAGGTAGACTCGAGCCTACATCAAGAGACGCGGTCTCTCGTGTCTCTCGCGCGCCAACTATGTATAGTTATCTGTACGAAATAAACGAGAATGTACTGAAGGATGCGGCCTCCGTCGTAATCCGTTTCGGTCAATACCAGACTGTACTTACATGTTTGCAAACTCGGATTTTCATTCGCGCGACTCCGCTAGGGTTCTTGTTGTCATACGGACCATGAAAGTCGCTCTGAGGACGATCGAACGGCGACTAATACGGAGCTAGGTGCTCCGTAGGAGATAGCTTGTCAGTTGCGATCGCTATTTCGTGTGGTACGTATCGCGGCACGAAGATTTCGTGAATCAGTGAGGAGCAGTCTCGAGAGTGTTTAATGCTACATTTTAAGTTGGATCAACGAGAGGCTGACGTCTAATCGTTGCACATATTCGCTGATCTATCACGTGTAAATATAAGTAAGAGTTTACTTGATACAATTGTCGAATATCCGCAAAATTTGAAGAAGCAATCTTGAATATTTATTACTTACATTCCACGCACGTATATTTCTATCATAAATATTCATTAGATTATTCGAAAACATCAATGTTATTTCCAGTTGATACAATTCGCGTATTATTAGATTCTAATCTTCTTTTCTGTCATATTTTATGTGAGACTCAATACTTATTCATTTACTGTAAAACTGATAATTGAAAAACTAATCGCACAATTCTCTACGATTCCTGCAGTACGAATATGAGAATTAAAACAGTCCCGAGACATAGAATACTCCAGAGGAACGCGAGAGTCGCGTCTGCAACAGAAACCTCTATAGACGCGGAAACTGTCACAGATACAAAAAAGAATTGTGATTCTACACACACGATGAACAGTCAAAACTTATATAACCAGGTGAGAGTAATTATACATCACATTTAATAAATTCTATTGTTATCGATAGAATAGAGATGAATAGATGAATTAAAAATTTGATAATAAAATAAATTCAGAATTAAAAATAAAGTGTCACATGTCAAAATCTTACGTTAAATTGATTAAACAAAAATTGTTTGTACATGAAATATATATGTTGATAATTATTCGAGAAAAGTAGTCGCGCAAATGCGATATAAAATATGTTATTTATTCATAAATATATATACAGCAATATATAATTTCGAATAACGTATACTCGTGAAATTTTCCGAATATTAAGACGTGTCTTATACAATAGGCATACGAGTCACCTTCAGCGATTCTCATTCCTGGCGCGATGTCCAGTACTTCATGCAGCGACCTGACCTTGCCCACATCCACCAGCGTATCATCGCCGCTTGCTAACAATAATAATAATAACTCAGAAGTCGTGAATCTATCAATTAAAGACGCTTCCAATCGCGTCAATAAAACTGCGTCGGGTAACTCCGCCGAGCCAGATGATAAGTTGAAGGATACGTTCCTCTATAAGATCATGACCGACCCGAATTTCCTGGAGAACATACAAAGGAACAAACAGCCGAAGAAGTTCGTCTGCATCTTCTGTAAAGAGGATTTCACGACGTGCGAGGAATTGACGAGCCATATGGACGTGAAGAAGAACGATAGCAATCAGATTGCCTGTTGCGCTTGCAAGAAGACTTTTGCCGAGAAGAGGTACTTGAAGTACCATCGGAGATGTCACTCCGAGAGGACCAAGTTCACATGCGACATTTGTACGAGAAAGTATACGAGACTGGACAATTTAACGAGGCACAATGTGTTGCACGTGAATCCCGACAAATTCTCCTGCACGATCTGCAACAGGACCTTCACGCGTAAGGATTTGCTGAATAAGCATCGGAAGAGTCACGAGAAGTATAATCTTTACTGCGAAAAATGCGGCAAGTACTTTAGGAAAATTCTCACGCTGGAAAATCACCAGAAAACGCATGGCGATACATCGAACATTTCGACGAGCGCCGCTGCTTTCGAGACGGAGGCTTCTGTCAAGAATATAGATTGTAAGACTGAGAATACCGTCTGTGCTGAGAATACAGTTTGCAAAACTGACATTTCAGCCAGAGATGAGGATTTAGTTTGCAAAACTGAGGAATCAGCTCGTAAAACTCAGAACTTGCCTTTTGATGAAAGTATTTGTTAGGTAAAGTTATATATTTCTCTGTTTGATCTCAGTTTATTATATCTTCTGGTAATCGAAGTGGGGAAATTTTCAAAGAATGTATTGTTTAGTAGAAGTACAATGTAGTACATTAATACATTGATGAAGATGCAACATTGTTAAATTCATTCATATATAAATATAAATATATATATATATATATATATATATATATATATATATATATATATATATATATAATATCGGCTCTTACAAAATTACTGTACATTAACTTGTTATACAGTAGTCTCTTGCAGTATAATTTATGGGTTTTTGTTTACGTAGATGTATTTGCTATTTTCTCTTGACCTACTGCGAGTAAAATGTGCTTATATTTTCGGGGAATATATTCGTAATTATATATTGTTAATATACACATATAACTTGACCAAATGCATATATAATAATTAATTGGTTATTGTGTCACCATTTCCGCGGTGTCGAATATTTTTTGAGAAGAGATTATGTTCTTTATTATCATCAGCACCGGTAAATAATCTTATAAATATATGTTCCTTAAACAAAGGTAAACACACTAGGAACTTTCACCTTTATTATACACCATTATATATACAATTAAGGATGTTAATTATCAACTGGAAATATCAGGTCCTTTTTTCAAAAATAAAATGGAATCGTACTCCAACTTACTGGAAAGGGGAAAAATGTGCCTTTTTTAAAAAATATTTACCCTAAGTTCATGTAACTGATGATTCTGAAATTCTAGAATTGCTCGACAGTAGAGATTATGCTTTTATTTAATCTCTCTCTTTCTCTCTCGTGCCTATTCGGAGTAAGGAATACTTTAGAAAGTAGGACGTATAACTGCTTATACTCAATCACGAAACAGAACAGCCACCATCCGCAGAAATCGTCACCACTCCTCGTCTCTTTTAGCTTTATTCACTCGGTCCTACATTTTTTTTCTTCTTAGCCCGCTTCGTCGTTCACTCTCTTTCTCACTTGCAATTTAATGCAATTAAGTCGAGCGTTAAAATATCGTTCTTAATTCGCCGGCGGCACCCTTTGTTTTAAACGTGGTTTTAGCGCGAGCGACTCACGTTGAAGCCTCTCGTTTTCTCTCTTTGTCCACGTTTGCTCTCTTCCTCGATCCGTCTCTCCTTCTCCCATTTCTCTGTATTTTGCACCCCACTGTTCCTCCTTCCTCCACCTCACTCTCCCTCTCTCTCTCTTTCTTTCTTTCTCTCTTCTACTAGACGCAGCGTATAATTCGTTTTTCCCGTAAGAAATACATGCACGCCATCGTCGCGTTTTCAAGCACAATGCACGACTTTGACGCTCTGTTGCCACAAGCTGGTCGCCCATTACGAAATTCTAATTATTTTTCATTTTCTTTTTGAAATACTTGAACTTTCTCACCATGATGGAGAAAAGTTATAGCGCTCGATGATGCTTAAACTTGAGTATTAAGCGACATAGAGAGCTAAGAATCTACACAAAGAACACATATATACGTAGAACACGTAAGATTTATTCTTTTGACATAGTGTGTGATAGATTTTTCATTTATAAAATAAAAAATATTACTGGAATGTGTGAATAGAACATAAGAGAAAGACAATATCGTGAATATATCTTTTTCATTTGTAATTACCTCGTGCAAATTTTTCGCATACTTATATCTAACTTAAATCTCTTTTCACTATTACTTCCGACCTATTTTCCATTCTGTACGCTACCAGCCACACTCGCTCCATATTGCCTTTGTTCCTGAAGAACTCGAGAAAGGTTTTTCCGCCGTGACATCGAAAGAAAGCTCGGCGAAGCACTCAAAGATAGAGTCCGCCAATTTTCAGCGCTTCTCTCTCTCTCTCTCTCTCTCTCTCTCTCTCTCTCTTCTGCTTCCATCATCCTGGAATCCTCCCGTGTGTGTCCCTTTGATTCACTTACTTGTCCAACGCGTATCACGTATGCGGACTCGACCAAAAATGTAACAAAGTTTCCAGGAACGTCCTCTCAGAGAGCCCAGTACAGATTCTGCGGTCTCTTTGGTGAGCGTCGAACTCGCTTCTTGCTAGACGAACGATGTCCTCTCTTCGTCGTCCTCTTGCCGACGACCTTTCCTTTACTGCGATACGTTTGAACGTTAGCCAGGTACTCGGGATGATTATGCGCGTGCGACGTGCGATGCGTGTACAATCTCAGATATCTCTAAAACTATGCAACGATCTTGTGTTTTGTTTGATTTTTCTAGAGATATTTCGGAGTTTTTGAAAATAATCGTAGCGCACAGGTGGAAATGAATTCGATTCCGAACACATTTCAGATATATCGACCATATTTATTTATGATTTCCATCATTGATCTTAATTATTGTCCTTATAGAATGGAATATGTTGTCAGACGTGAGTTTAATTTCTGCTATGTTTCTTTTAGACGCTTCTCCCGTCTTCAAAATGCAGATAATTATCCTTAATTGCGCGTGGAAACGCGGTTCTTCTAAATAGAAAATAAATTTTTGCGAATTTGTAGGACGGGCGCATTTTCAGCGAAGAGATAAACATCTTGAGATTGTTTATCTCCTCTCGTTGTTGCTTAATCTCTTCTTGTGCCGAAATTTAAGACATTATATCGTAGAAGAATTCCTTTGATGTCGCGCTTTACATGCAATATTTACATGCTATCGAGAGAAGACTTTAAACTTCTTAAAGATATTTTGAAGGCCCGGGAGTACTTTCAGCGAGCTAGCTGCATTAAGAATTCAGGGGAGGGGCACGGTGGCATTTATTCATTTCAGGCATTAATGAAAAGTCTGTATGGTAGCGCTTTATGTATCAAAGTAGACGCAAAGGACGCAAAGACGCAAAGGACGGGGCGCAAGCGTTGTTGCATGCAATTTTCGTATTTATCCGTATTCCCTTAATCGCCAAATGTTTTTATTTAACGTTCTTCCTATTTATTTTACTAAGTTGAAAAAGGATATAGGGCTTGCCACGTTTATGCCGTACTTTACGTTACGTTTGTCACTCGAGGAGCTATTCGCCATGCATAAGTAAACCCTAAAGTATAAACCCTTTACAAGTGTATTAATGTCATAAACAATACTTGCAAGCAATTGCATTTGACTCAATTGGCCGCTGTTAGCGGGAGCCGAGGCTACTTGGCTACCGGCGTAAATTTACAAAATCGATATTTCTACTGTTCTTTTACAGATTCAGATCAGATACAGATTCAGAATCAAGTAAGATTTCAAAGTCATCGTTGACATGTTTAAAAATCTTGCTTGCTCAATTATGTAACTTGAAAATACTAGAAATAACCAGTTTTGTTAACTAGCCCTTGGTCTTTCTCACAGCGTGAATCACGCAATCCAACATTAATGACACGCTAATATTCCCGCACGTACACGCGCCCCCAGCCGGAAAACAGAAGGAGCGAGAAGAAGAGGAAAATGGAGAAAAGCGCGCGAGCAAGGGCAGGGACTTTTCCGCAATTTTAAAAACTGCTAAGCATTCCATGTGTTTGTTTGAACGCGCACAATGCCATTAGAAGAGCCTTTTAGTCCCTCTATCGTTTTCGTCGTCGTCGTCGTCGTCGTCGTCGTCGTCGTCGTCGTCGGTCGTCGTCGGTCGTTGTCGTCGTCAACATCGTCTACGTTGTCGTCTCTCTTGCGACCGACCCCTCGCTACCCTCTTCCGCCCCGATTCTCTCGTCGGAAAATCCGCTCGCGGCGAAACGCATTCTATATACGCAACGCTGAGTTTTTCCACGGTTTTCATCCGGCACTTTGGCGCTCGTTTTCCCAGACCGCACGCGTGTACCTGCGCACACGTGTTATACATGCGCATCGCCGTTCCATTCTGTCCCTCCTTCCCCTCTCTCTCTCTCTCTCTCTCTTGCGCGAGGTCATAACGTTTGTTTTCATGCTTATTTTGCATCACCGGATGGAAAACCCTCAAAATATCTGGAAGAGCAAGTCAGCGTGAAGTAAAGCTCCGAAAGGAAGAGAGCCATGTATCTCGATAAGTGAAAGAAGCGATGGCGGATTACTTCGTCTCAGGTATGATCGAATTGTGAATATGAATTTCAAAACTTTAATATTGATCTCGTATCGATATTCTTGTGCGTATCGATATTCTTGGGCCTCGATATTCAAATCTTCAGCATTAACACGATTGAAGGGATGAATCAAGCAAAGAAGAAAATCATCGCCAGTTGATTGTACATTTGAGAGACATGATGATTTATTCATTTGTTTAAAGGAATCAATTATTCGTACATCTTCTTGGTAGTTCACTCAGATTCCGTTTGTTGTTTATTCTCGCGTGTCTGCACGTCGCAATGCGTGTTTACGAGCGCGTAAACAAGAACTCGTTACGAAGACGTATGTCCTTTGAATGTTGCTCGCTTATATTAATATTGCATCAATGCCGTGTCAAAGAGCACACCCTTCCTCGTTCTCCTTGTTACCCTTTGCGTAACGTGTACCCTTTTGCACTTCGATGAGGCTTTCTCGAGCGGCCAAGCAGCGCGCGACTACCTCGTGAATAATTAGCGGACGAGACATTAACCGAGGGGGTTTGAAAATTTCTCCAGCTTGCTCCGAAAATGCACACATTCCGTGTCAATCCCCTGTGCGCTGGATGATAACTAAAAAATGGTGAACTCGACTGTAAAATTAAATCTTCTGCGTTCTGGCAAGAGTTTAAATTCGGCTTTTCTATATAAAATGTTTTCACATTATGTATAAACGGTATATTTTACTCAAGCAGAATATGTTCAATGTGTATCTATTATAATATTCTTTCTACTGAGTTCGCCTGCGCGCATGGCAGACGTCTGCACGTTACTTCCTGACTCGAAATTTCAAAATTGCTATAAGTCTCGAAATTCTTCACTGGCCCACAAGTTTGACAATATTTGCCGGCTTGCCGAGAAGAAAACACTTGAAAATTTCTATGCGGTATATCAAGTTGACTTACAGAAATAGACACTTTATATTCTACAGAAAAATTTTCAAGTATTTCTTTCTCTTAGAGTAGGATCTAAATTTCGGCTCGGACTAAAATTCGCGAGAAAAACTGCTCGTACTCAAGCATCCCAGCTAGATCGATTTCGGCCTGACTTAGCCACGGAGGTGCCGTCAAGGCCGTACGAAAACGCTCTCGCGGAAAGAGCAAGGAAAAAGACGAAGACCGCCCCGCTTAGGCAAACGCGCCCAATAATCGCTGATAATTTATTAAGGCAAAAAACGCCGGCGATCCACCCTACCAGGCTTTTGCGCGCGCGCGTTATTTAAGAAAATAAATATTTGATATTTCAAACAAAGACTCGGCTATCCCTCTCCCGCATGGCCGAGGAGCCAACGGCGCAAGAGGAGGATAAGGGTGAGGCCGCGCGAGGAGGAAGGAGCAAGGATCGCAGCTAAAAAGTGTCGAGGGAGAGGGTCGCTAAGTCTCGCCCGCTTAAAGGCGCCGACGGGGGTGGCGACTCATTGGCCGTGAAATATGGGGTAAAAGGTTCGATAATTGATTACACAGATTTTTTATGCCGCAAGAAGCCTTAATTCTCGCCGCTACCCCTTGGAATAATTCCGCGCCGGGAAACCTGAGCGACGAGGCTGGAATATCGAATCCCTTTCCCCGCTTCCATCCCTTACAAGGGAAGACAATCTCGCGTCGGCCCTTACAACCGGTTCCGAGATT